AAGTTTCTTCATCTCCACTAGATTTTTCTCAAATAGAAAAGTTATTAATATGACTCATGACTGTTGCAGTGAAGGATGGAGTAAGAGATCTGGAGAGCTGCTCTCCGAACATCACAATTGCCTGGACTGAGACACTTCAAAGAACATTTAACCAGCCTCTGGCTGTCCATCAGGGCCACCACTGTCCCACTTTGATGTACTCATTATCCGGCACGTGGACGCTTCCAGTAAGGCAAGTCTCATACCAGCCAGGTAGGTTAGAGGAAAACTCAGCCGCAGAAGAGGCACAAATCCTCTTCCTCTTCTTCAAAGAAATGCAAGCAACTTATCATTCCCCTCAAGGCTTTTATGTCTGGAGGTGGCCATGCCTTCTTCTCTAATGAGAGAAAAGAAACAACCAAACAAGTAAGTCAGGCTGTGTTGGCCAAAGTGTTCAACTACTATCGTGTGTGAAGGAGAACAGGAACTGAAGAGGAATTACAAGCTGACAATGAGTCATGTTTTGCCTTCTTGTCTTTCTTCCAGAAGAGAAAGAAGGATGAGTTTCCCCTTTAGATTCTCTAATTCACTGGGGAAAGGGGAAACCACATTTTACTTTTAGCAGCTTTTGTTCTTGCATGTGCTCCTGGACCTAAGGGCACAGATTGAGCTGCGCTGCTGGGGAGGCTGGTACATCTGACAAGCCAGACTGAACCGTCGGCATGAGCCCGGAGAATTTTCTTTCATTTCTATCGTCATGCTTGTGATTTTGGCAGGACCAGAAAAAAAAAAAAAAGAGATTCGAGGACACTGGAGGCAGTTTTCCAAAAACAGAAACCTGCTTTTTGCCAAGAGGATTTCCTGAGCAATCTAAGTGGTTGAGGACCTTGTCTCAAACAAAGTTTGGATCAGTGGGGTATCTCCTTGTGCACAAATTGGGCTGAGGGATTTTCTTTCCTTTATGCATGCTTCTTCCTAAACCTGGTCTTACAGCTAACTAGTGAGGACTGTTGTCCCTGGACACCAGCTCAGGCTCTGATAGCTTTTGTAATAGCATTTGTATCAAAATATTGTTGTGCTGGAGTCTCCAAGGCCATCTGGGGCTTTGTGCAGACAGGGTGCTTACAAATGAATGTGAACCAAAGCAAATCAACATTGCTTGGCAGGGATGAAATGTATTGCTAGGGTCTGTCTCTGCCAAGCTAGACTGTTTGGCTCCAGTCCCACTCTTCGGGGGGATTGTCTGTCAAAACACAATTTGGTATTGTACGGCGTCATGGTTACGTGGCTCACTACTCCTTTAACCCCTCTCAGGCCTTATGCTCTTGTTATTTGTTGAGTGGAAACCTGTGAATCTCCAACTCTTAAAGCAGACCTCAGGCTCTGGTACCTTGCACCAGTTGCCCCTCGTGCCACTGTGTTGGTTCAGGTAGAGCTTTCCCTTAGGAGCTGTCAACCAGTAGATTGCAACCCTCTTGAAAGGAAGGCATTATTTCTTAATGCCATGAAATGATAAGAAGACATATCTTTGTACCATCTCACGATGGAAGCCTGGTTTCTTGGCCTAACCACCTCAAAAACCTGGTCATCCTTTCAAGATGGGAGTCCAGCTTGGACACTTGATTGACTCTCCTTGATTATCCCATCCCTTCATGAGTGGCAGCTGCTGCTTCTGCTGAGCCCTGCCGGAAAGCCCAGAGGCCACCCATTAGAGGACAAGCCAAGACATCAATGTGAACGTCCTCACAGGTTTGCCAAGAGGTGTATAATCATATCACCCTCACCACTTCTGGACATGTTTCTGAGTTCATTCAACCTAAATATGGACATAGTAAATTATCACAGGGGCTTGGCCAAGACACGACACTACAGGTGTCTCCAAGGCCATTACATACAGTTTTTGCTATAGTGAAAATCCTCAGTAAGCACTGGTGGAAGTACTGTCTCTGAGCACAGGTTCTGCTGGGCCACCTCCCATCCTGGAGGCTGGTGAGGGGCAGCAGGAGGAGGACGTGCATATTCCCTTCGGGAGGTGAGTGAAGAGGCAGATCCTCAGCTGAGACCCTGCCGAGCCTGGAGACGGCCGAGAAGAGCGGCAAGGCCATTACATACAGTTTTTGCTATAGTGAAAATCCTCAGTAAGCACTGGTGGAAGTACTGTCTCTGAGCACAGGTTCTGCTGGGCCACCTCCCATCCTGGAGGCTGGTGAGGGGCAGCGGAGGAGGAACGTGCATATTCCCTTCGGGAGGTGAGTGAAGAGGCAGATCCTCAGCTGAGACCCTGCCGAGCCTGGAGACGGCCGAGAAGAGCGGTGGCTCTCCATAGGTATGACATGCGGCACGTGCTGTCCCGTAGGCAGGCAGCTGCCTGCGCCGCTGCCTGGGCCGTCACGTCGCTCGCTAGCCTGGCGCACATCTGCAGCCTCGTCCCCAGCAAGCAGGGCAGCAGCAGCCTTGCACAGGCTGGGACGCCAGCAAAACGCAGCCCGGCTGCCCAGGTCACGCAGCCTTGCAGCTTTCCTCTCGCGCTGCAGGATTTGGGCGCTTTCCTTCGAAGTTCAGGCTGGAGCACGCCGGTACTGCCCAGCTCTCCTGGGCCATGTCTGCTCCAGGGGCTGGGCCTGGGACCTGTGATCATCCCAGCAGACTGGGGACAGCTGACCACTGCTACGAGTCCATCTGTCCTTCTCCCGGGCGCGGGGTTGTATGGATGGCCCCAGGGCTCAGCTGTCTCTGACCCGAGGTGCAGCACAGCTGTGTGACCCTGGGTTGGTTTTGCTGAGAAAACTGCTGCTGCACTGTGAGAAAATACATGAACTAAAGCCAGGCAAGGTAAGAAAAGTCAAAACACAGACAGAATTAAAGTTGTCAAGATGATAATAGGTAGCAATGCAAGGCTCCAAAAGTAAATGCTATGTGAAAAGGGATAAAACCCTGAAGGGACTGGTTCAGTCACTATCTTGCTCTAAAGATCCCTGGGCTAGAGGTTAGAAATGCCCCGAGTCCTTGGCTCATGTGTAACTCTGGTGTGAGGGTATGTCCCAAGTGCGGGGCTCCGAGATGGAGGATGGAGAAAGGGGCATGTGAAAAAAAAAAGGAAGAAAATGAGTGGCTGGGCGAGTCATAGAGAGGGAGATATCCATGAGGACTGCATTTAGTCCACTGGCAGGGAGGAAGTGTGAGGAATTTGACTGGGAAGGGAAACACAGGCATCACCAGCTGAAGAGCCTGAGCAGCCCTGCTCGACCGCAGGCTCCCCCTCCCCCTCTGCCTTGAACGACTCCTTCCTACCGAAAATCCCAGCACCCCTTCCCCTGGCACAGCATCTTCTTTCTTAAGCTGGAAGCCCCATGGCAGAAGGGCAGGGACAGCACCTCTCCGTCCATGTCCCGGGAGTGGTGACCTGCAGACAGCTGCTCTTGCTCACAGGTGCTGGCAGACAGTACAAAGCCATGCAAAAGGCAGGCCACGATGCGAGGGGGTTTTGCACAGGTGTAAATAAGTGTTTGGGGCAAGGGAGGCTGAAGGCTGTCTTGCTGAGCTTGTGTCAGCCCGGTGTTAGGTAAGAGGCAACTAGACACACTGGACATGCAATTGGGAGCTTTGTAAGGAGCAAACAGAGGTTCAGACGTCCACATCGGGGTGGTGGCCAGCTATTGCAACCTTCCCCATGTGTGAACATCTGCGAGGGGCCGTTCCCACGATGAGCGGACATGGGCTAATTGGGAGCTTTGTAAGGAGCAAACAGAGGTTCAGACGTCCACATCGGGGTGGTGGCCAGCTATTGCAACCTTCCCCATGTGTGAACATCTGCGAGGGGCCGTTCCCACGATGAGCGAGACATGGGCTGGAAACACCCCCCCCGGGGCTGTATTCTCCTCCTTGCACTGAGAAAGTCAAAAGTTACCCTTTCCCCATCCCAGCTCTGTCCGGCAGGTAGCTCCTCCTCACCTGCAGTGTTTCGGAGTTAATACAGTGCTATGACCTTCTTTTATCTGAGAAAAACAAACACAATTCAAGTAAAGTGAGTTAATATGTAATTGTAGTGTACAACAGGTGCTGGCATTGCATTAGAGGTATAGTTAAGCTCCTGTGCCTGGCAGAAGAACCTGGTGGTGACTCGTGACTAAAAGGTGAACAATCTTTCATTTTTAATATGAAATTTGGCACCACCCAGCTCTTAATCTCTTTATATCTTAATAATATCAACAGCCAGAAAATAAATGTATAATTTGTTCTGTCTAATGCTGAAAACCAGATTTTTCTACTAGTGCATCAGGAGCTGAATTAGTCCCACAGCAGCACAGAGTGAGTGGAGAGGCCAGGGCCCCTTGTGGGGACCCGGCTCCAGGCGGAGGTGAGCTCACTCAGCTGGAGCTCTTAGGTACAGCTGCGCCATCAAAACACTCATGTACCCCACCTCCCGAGCTGTGGAGATGCTTTGCCTTAATCCCAGTCCGAGTTTCTATCACAAGCCACTGCCAGAAAGATTAGAAGAAAGTGCACGTTCACGTGGCTGGAGACGTACCGCTCTCTTTTAAAGAAAGCAGCCCCTCTCCATGAGACCCCTGCGAAGCCACAGCCCTGATGCGGAGCTGGGCTGGCTGGCGAGACCATGCTGCTCTCTGCGAGCAGCGGCGGGAGCGTGGCTGGTCACTGCGCTCCCTCCTCGCCTGGGCCCGCAGGCAGCGTCCCCTCGCTCACCCTCCCTCGGGCGGGTTTGTGGAGTGTCCTTACAGGCTCCGGTAACTTTTGTGCCGCGTTTTCCCCATGGCTGCAAAGCATTTTGTCTGTAGCTGGGAAGTACCGAGCTCTTCCCTCCGCTCGCTGGCGGGATGGAAGTTAATCATCTGCTTGCAATTAACCTGTGACCTCCCACGCCCACGGCGCGCGCGGGGCAGTGCTGTAGCTTTAACACGGGCGGTGGAAGCGGGAGGGAGGACAGCAGTGCCAGGTCCGGCCCCGAAGCTGCTGCAGATCCCTCGCTCCTGCCCGACCCGGCCCTGGCAGCGCTGCCTGCCATGGGGAGCCATAGCCTCCTCGCCGCCCTCCTCGCCGCCGCCCTCGCCTTCCTCCTGCCGCTCCCCGCCGCCCCCTCGGCCCACCGCAAGCTCCTGGTGTTCCTGCTCGATGGCTTTCGCTTCGACTACATCGACGACAGCGAGCTGGAGGGTCTGCCGGGCTTTCGGGAGATTGTGAACATGGGGGTGAAGGTGGATTACATGACCCCAGACTTCCCCAGTCTCTCCTACCCAAATTACTACACACTGATGACGGGTGAGTACTTGCGTTTCTGTGCTGTGATGCTCCTTGGAGCTGCCAGCTCCCCGTGCCGAAGTGGAGGGCAGCTCCTCATGACTTTTTCCTTCAAAGATGATGTAAAAATAACACAAGTCGTGCTTTCAGCTGGGAGTTTAAAAGCGCTGAGGCATTACAGCTCAGTATTGCTTGTCTGAAACCTGCTCTGAACTTGGAAACGCCACTTGGAGCTGATTTTTGAAGTTCCCCTTTGCTCTCCTGTGGTGCTGCTGTGTCCCTGTCTGCTGCCACCGCTGCAGCACAGCTGCCCAGGGCTCCCGGTGGGAGCACTGATGGGGGCTGCTGCATATAGAAACATAAAAACGAGTGGGAAATGCATGGAAAATGAATACGGAGCCTGCTCACAGACTTGCCAGTTAATAAAAAGGCGTGTAAACTGAGGGTGGTTAAGAGAAGAACTTATTTTCAGTCAGCAGGTCTCTTTTGGCAACTTCAGCGTTAAATTTCTTTTTAAACTTAACAGACTTTCTGCTTTCACAGATCCCTGTCTTAACATTGCCCTAAGTCCTTGTATCTGTAAGATAATCTAAAATAGCCAAATAGAAAGACATTAAGGGTTTTCGCTTTTGCTCCTCTACACTTTCCCTTTTTCTGACTGCCCAGGAGAGGCTTTCAGAAAATTGGGAGGATAGTCATAATTTTCATGATGCTAATTTCCTTTTAATCTAAGCAGAGTGACACATGATTACAGTGACACTAGGAAGGTGCACAGAGTACAGCTGAGCCCTTCACATCAGAGAAAGACACCCTGGAAACAACATTTAAGTAAAAAAACCCCCAAAAAACAGAAAAGTTTTTCTGGAGTTTCTGATTGCATCTTTTCCCAGAGTTACTTAACAAACAAGATCTTACAGCTAACGAGGAGTGAGAAAATCTGTCCTCTCCAAAGATATGTGGTATCTTCTGCTGTCCTCGGAACAATACAATGCCCAGCAGTCCATATACTGCTTGCTGGGAAAGCGAACAGATGCCATTGTAAGACAAAAATCTGACATCAGTTGTGCCCAGCTTGTTTTGAAACTGCTTAACCCCTTCCTTGCTCTCTTGGGAGAGGAACGCCTTTCTCTTGCTCATCTCTGAACAGAAGAGTGCAAAACCGTCACAGATTTTTTTCATGACTTGGTGCAAATGCATGAATGCAGAGCAAATGTCACGACTGAAAATAGAGGTGTCACTCCACTGTGGACCTTGTTCTTTAGGTGTACGTAGGCAAACCGGCTTAACACTTCATGTGTAAAAAGCCTTCAGATTAAGTTGTAAAAGAGAACAGGGAAAGCAACTGCTTTCTCTCCTTACGACGTTTAATCATCACTCCTATTAAATGCGTATGCGTAGAGTGAAGTCTATAATCAGCCTTTCGAGAAGTTTTGAAAACATCCTATTTTGTACTCACAAAGAAGGAGTTTTGTTTTATATGATGAAACACCACTACTAGACTTTTCACATTTTTAGGGTACCAGAGTTTCTACACCCCAGCTTGAAGCAATGAGATAATCTGTGAGACCAAACTCAACTCTTCTTGCAAGTCTCCTGGCCTTCATGATGAGGATCTCAATACAAATACAACTTAACTGCAAATAACAATTCACCTTCATAACACATGAGTGTTAAATAGGTCAGGAACCAACCGAGGACCAAGTTTAGGTGATGAACATGCCCAAAGGAAGATCAAAGACTGCACTTGAACCCTCGGGGTGTTAGTGGACCCCGTGGCTGTGTCTTGGCATGACAGCAGGATAAATCCCATGGCTGCACTGTTCTTAACCCCCAATGCCACGGTGCAGTCTCCACAGAAAGCAGTTGTCACGTTTTAGGTGATGGTGGGGTTAGGAGCGTGGGGCACGCGGCAGACGTAGCATTAGCTGTGTTCAGTCTGTGCACATTCAATTCGTAAAGCTGGCACAGCTTTTGGAAAAAATGCAGCATGGCAGGGTGACATGAGCATCGTGCCATAGTGACCTGCTTAGGGACTGGCAAGTTACTGTCTCCCCATCGCTGCTGTACAGGGGTGGGAAGGTTTACATTGCATCTCACCAGTCTTGCATCTCCTTGGTGGGGGTGGACATGACTGTAACTGGTTTTGCTTCCATTTGCAACTGGGATGTGTGGGACTTAAATGTTACCACAGCTTCTTCTGGGAAATCAGGGACTACAAGGGCAAGCTATTCTTCATGTCTTGTCCTACACGGCTGCTTCATGAGCTGTTAAGAAACTCACATTTTAACCTCCAAATTGCGGTATTACAGCATTTGTGAATGCGGTTTCATAGTATATTGGCTTTTTCCAGCTAAATCAGCTTAAGAAATTTCTGGCCCCACCTGCACATTCCCACCCCCGGCTTGTTCATTATATCCCACCACTTTTTCAGATAAACACTCCCGTCCCTTCTTTCTCTGCTCATTCACAAGGTCTTGTGGCCCCACATCCATTCAGGAGCCTACATGGCTGCCAGGTCTAGGACAGCGTGTGGATGAAAACGCTGTGGTTGGGATGTGTTTCTCTCTTGCCTCTATCCATTCATGTGAGCAAGGCCTCTCCTTTCTGCGTACTGCCCTTCACCCCACATCCACACAACCTTCATGACTCCGGAGAGGTTTAGTTGTTACAGAGGGAAGTTCTCCCTCATTTCAGTGGCTTTGGAGGAGGACAGTGGACTCTGCTCCTCAGACACCATCACCGTTGGGACAGGTCAGTCCCTGCAAACGTGAACTCATCTCCTCCTCCTGCCCAGACCTGCAGGCAGAGGTTATGGAGGTCAGCAGCATCTGCCCCACCGCATCTCAGTGCAGATGCCAAACTGCACCCATCAGCCCTGCCAGAAGGTAGCTTTCCTCTGCAACGGGCAACTAGCAAGCAATAGCACACAGCACAGCTGCCCGATTATCTGCAGGATCTTCTAGTCATTATATTTTACTGATTATTTCAAGAGGGCAGCTTAAGTGAATTTAATATTCATGAGAAATAGCAAGTTTACTGAGATTTTCAAAGCTATAACCAAATAGATGCGACCATAACTGATGACCAAAAGCCATGTATCTAAAACCAACTAACTAATGTATGCTAATGTGAAGCATACCCTGTTTTGCTGAGACTAGGTGCTAGGTGAAGTACAGATACAGTGGGAGGAATAGGGCCCAACCTAGGTAAACAAAACGGATAAATTTTGGAAGGGAAGCGGAGGGAGGGAGGTGACTTGCCCGTGGTCACGCAGTGCTGCAGGGCGATGGCAGTGCTCTCCATGGGCCCCCCTCCTACTTAAATCTGCGGCTGCTGTTAACCTATGAGAAGATACTTGCTGGGGCTTCCCTGAGTGACACAGAAAGCCTCAGCCCAAAGCCTGGGGCCTGTCTAGAGGTCTTTTCCTTTCCTACAGCAATTATGAGGAAGAAAATCAGAGCATAGAAACAAGACGAATGCTAATGGTTTGGCTTCTTCATGTAAAGTCACCCAGTGATTCAGAGCTCGGGGAGAAGCTCCAGTCTCCCTGTGAGCCAGGGCATGGCGTCATGACCTGCTATGACCTTGCTTGAAGAAGCACCAAACAACAGCCAAGTCAGTGCTGGAGCAAAGGGATCTCGCTGACATGCAACCAAAGTTGTTTTGTTACAAAAATCTGGTGGTGTGCAAGGTAGCCCAAGAATGTACTGGCTTAAAATCTGACTCTTTGAAAAGCAATCTTCTTTAACAACTTCATTCATGCCATGTTTCTCAGTTTTGGCTTCCACAGTGACGTAAAGACTGGTTCTTGGGTGGTTGTCTTGTTTTCTGAGCTGCTAGACTGAATCCTAGCTGATGTCCTAGCCCTCCATGCTCCAGTTATGATATTGCAGTTGTTGACCTGAAAGGCGTGGCATAAAATGGCAAATTAGGTAAAAGGAGCTGCTGCTGCTGACACGTGTGTTTGAGAGAGCTTTGCGGGGCTTGACATGGGCTTGGCAAGGGAGGGAAGAAGGAGTCCAAATACGTGTATCCCAAAAGGCTCACTTAATCACACCATGTGCTGTTTGTTTTGCAAAGAAAGGAATTAAGACCACAAGCCACCTCAGGTTTTTATCCTGTGGGGAGCTTGTAATATTTCCCTTTCCCTGCCTTGGCCTGGCTCTGAAGGGAGCTCTCACGCCAAGCTAAATGGAAAGTCTGAGGTCTCCCCGTAACCGCTGCAGGCACGAATTATTGCTTCAGAGCCCTTTGTGCCGTATCTCTCAAGAAAAGCAGCTCACGTTGAGGAGTTTGGGTCTCCCTCACCTGCCAACCTGCAGGCATTGGAGGACTGCTGGGGGACCCCTTGCACCCCAGCTCCCCTGTAGCCCCCCCACCTCAGGGCGTGCGGAGGCCCCTCGTTTTCCAGCCCCAACCAGCATAAACACGGGTGGACGGTATCACATCTGAGCTGGAAACTCAGGGAGGATTTAGTTTCCCAGATCCTTAACAACAAATGAGGTCTTTTCTGGCAGGTCTTCTGTGAGGATGCGCCAGCTGCCCGGTCAGCTGTGCGGCCCCGTATCCAAGAGCCATATTTCTCTTGGCCTCCATGGGAAGCGAAAGGAGTCTCTGCTTGCAGAGGTGGGTGGGGGCGTGGGGAACTGTTTGGAGAGGAGCCAGTGAGGGGCCTCCATGTCCCTCTTTGGACAGGACCTCATCTTAAATACTTGGCAGAAAGTCTGCGAGGTCCCATGAAGCTTGTGGGATGGAGGAGGAGGTCGAACAGAGGATGTTTCAGGTCTCCTGAACCCCAAGGTGAGGCCTGTAGTCTTTGCAGGGCTGTCCCACACTTGCCGTAGCTCAGCGACGGCATGTTTGAGGCTTCTCTAATATACAGGGGGATGTGTGGTGTTTTCCCAGCCACTGCGGCTCAGCCCTGCGTGTGCCATCGCCTTGTCCCCTGTGCGGCAGGAGGGAGAGGGGCAACACGGCAGAGGTCCCAGGGATGGGTGACAGTCAAGGTGTGCTCTGCCAGA